AAGTACATGCAAGGTAATCTGGAACAACATTTACATATTTTGATAATCAAAAAATGTTTTATAAAAAACTTCCTGGTCATTTATAAGTAAGGTAATTAAACATTATATTTTTTGTGCCTCGTGAATTTTTTTTAACAAACTACATTTAGGCTTGTTTGGAGTATTACATTTTTTTATCTGTGTGGGTTGCGGCTAGAATAGAGTCATACGGTCACACAGAAAAGCGAGCGGCGTAAAAATTGCGCTGTGATTTGCCGCGTGCGTGAAGTTTTTTTTGTTTGGAGAAATTCATCAAATGGCTTCTCCCGCTCATGGTAAGACTGGCAGGCTCTTACTGACTAAACTCCCCTTCACCTTCCTACTCCTGCTTTAGGCCAAGGCCGTGGTGCCACATTGCGCTTACCCCGCAACCCCGGCTGAGTGTGGTTGCTGGAGGCCTTGGTACTCCCTTTATCGCTAATCCCCATTTTTAATTCTCAAGAACCCATGCCTACTTGCTACTTTTCTGGTATCCGCTTGCGGACCCATTTGCTTACTATCAGGAAAACTAAATGATCGTTTGCTGCCCCTATCCTAATAAGTATTCAAATATTATTCAAGTGTATACTTTTAATAGACATAAAACCAAAAACCTTAAGCGTCTTGCAAAAAAGTGGCAATGCACGAGTACCTAATTACTAAGTTCATAGTATACTTACGCTATATATATATATTTTTTTGAAAACGTTTGAAGGTCTCTTAACAAATTAAACAGCACATAATTTGCAATATTTTGAAGTTCTTTGTGAGTATAACGAGGCCTTTGTTCTGTGCTTCTGTACGTCTTCCGCTTGACGATGTTGATGAATAAAGCTAAACTATTTTAGTAAATTGTTGAACTGCAACTATCGTGATATAAACTTGATTTATTGGAAATTAACGATTCACGTGAATTAACTGACAAAAGCTCTACTTGTTTCAAGTCATAACAGGACTCTTATTCATGAGTAGTCGCGCAGCCAACTACTGCAGAATTGGCGCAGTGGCTGGGCAACAGGCTGTTGTGCAACGTGTCACGGTTCGGTTCCTGTACGGAATAACACTTTGTGTGATTGAAAAATTGTTGGCTCTGAGTGGTTTGTATGTTTGTAAACGCACCCACAATTTAAGAGAAAATCCTAATGTGGGGCAAAGTTAAAAAAACATAAAAATGTAAATATCACAAAATATTACGAATAAATAATATTTTGCGTCTAAGAAGCAACACAGAAAACAATGAATATATTGGTACGGATAACATATAAAGTAGAATCGTCTATCGCAAAGCTAAATAACAAAGCTGAAAACCGAGGATAGTAGCATCATTTCGTCAAAATCAATCAATCGTCGTAATTGTGAGAGAGCTCTACGGACAGTTGTAACCTCAACATGGCAAACCATTATCAGTAAAGCTTGGAACGCAAGAGCTAAGCTGACACGACACTACATTGAGGATATTCCAGGCATCAGCCTGAACGAGATTACGATGGCTCTCAAACATTAAATACAACAAGGAAATAGGTGATGACAGAACTTCTGTGGATGGAAAACCGATACTTTTAATACTCCAAAAGTTATTTAATTCCTTTTAAATGGATGTTTGTTTATTATTTTCCACGTAAACACTATGTATTAACAGAATTAAATTTACAACAGAGATAGAGTATAAGTTTTGTTTGTGGGAAAAATCATCCAATAGTTTCTCCAGATCAATGGGAGTGACAGACTCTTACTTATCAGTAAGAGTCGACCATCTCGTTCCTTCTTCTGCTTCTTGCCCGGCCGCGGTATATACATAATATAGGTGTTACATACGAAACTCAGGTTGGAATATACGGAATTATAGTTTGGAATAATAGACACTGCAAGTGAAGCTAGCATAAATTAAAAATAATAATTTTGTGGTTACAACATATTATGGGACAAATTTTTCTAGAATGTATAAACCTTAAAAAAATACAAGTTCAACTGGTTGACGAAGACTGTTGCTACGTATTTTATTGATCTATAAACAAACAAGTTTTGAGTAACTCAAAACAATTATTGGGACAAAAATAAATAATTATCTTTATAAATAGATCCATACGTCAATTCATGTTTTAATACAAATATTTATTGAGGTAAAATTCAATTGAATCAGAAAATAAAATAATGTATATTATTGAAACTTACTAGTACTATATATTTTTTACTGTATTATATTAAAGATAGATTCAAAATTATGTGTACATTCATAGTCTGCATAAATAAATATATAAGCTTAAAATATATTACCTACGAAAGTAAAAAATGGCCGAACAAATATCGCCGATGCTCATTTTGTTTTTAACAAAAATAATATAAAGCTAGGTATATCTAAAAGGAAAATACAATATACACCTAGAAATATTTTGAAACTGCACACTGGTGAATTTGGGATTGATAACTAGTAGGTAGAAAATTAACAAAAGTATTTATTTATTAGACAAAAATCTTTCTTTAACTAATTCTCGATTTTTTTTTCACGTATCTATGAAAACGATAATACGAGGTATTGGCTATACCTCGTATTTCGTTTATACTAGGGCACAAATAACGCTTTGATGTTTGATTACTTTGGTTGTCAAAAACATATGACAACTTGTCAATACAATATGTTCTTCATATTTCTTTTACTAATTGCTTAGGGATAGAAATTAATCCAAGTAAGTATGATTACAGAGTCTTTGTCTCCATCATTACCGTCATCATCATCGCCCGGAAAATACTAAGTGTGGGAGAGCCAAGCTTCGGAACGAATGAGTCAGCTCGACCGGAGTGATACCACGGCCTCACAGAATACCGGCGTGAAACAACCACAGCGTTGCGTTTCGCCATGTGAGTGAGGTTCCTTCCAACCCTTATCCCCAAAAGGCCGGCAACGAACTCGTAACTCCTTTGGTGTAGCGGTTGGCCATGGGCGGCGCCGATTGTTAACCATCAGGAAATCCATCTGCTCGTTTGCAGACGTTTCCATAAAACTGTTTTTTTTATAAACAATGGCCTTAGTTCTCTGCGTCTAACGAAAACTTGCCACTGGCATCCATTTTGTTCCTCCCTGCGAATCTAAAGAGGTCGTCCGTCGTGCCCACAGACTGTATAGGTCGGACGTTTCACGTCTTTCAAACCTTGATTTCTGTTCGAGTTCTTTCATGTACCGGTTACAGAGTATTGTAACAAGAACCCTGAATAATAAATGCCTCAACGAGGATTTCCTAGATTTCAAACAAAAAACTGAATTTTGAAATTCGACGTATATTTTCCGGGCTAAAGAAAAAGTATAGAACCGAGAACATAGAACTCCTTCGTTTTCCAAAGTCAGTGAAATACTCTTTATTTATAAACACTTGGCACGTGCTGATCGTAACGAAGCTAACAAGACTGAGTCATATACAATAGAGAAGTTGACTAAACATTGATATTTTTCAGGAGGTGTTTAGTACTTGGTTGTTTGATGAAAAATATTAAGACTTTTCTTATAATTTTTTTTTTTTGGGAGATGATACTCAAAAAGTACTTTTTAGAAGTGTTATTTATTAAACTGTATAATAATTATTACGTGTGATTCTTATCGACTTAGTCATATAACTATTTGACAAGATGACTCGACTACTTTCAAACCACATAGGGGCTCTTATTCACGAGTATACGACACACGACTCAGCATAAGTCGCTAACGCAGGAATAGTACAGGAAGACGAGGAGGAGGGAACAGGAAATATCTGTGATAATTAAGTCTCAAACTGTTTTGTCGGTAAACATCAACAGTCCATAATAGCCTACTTCTGGATGATGAGTTTCTATATTTAGAACTTCTTTCTATATTTAGAGTTTCGCCCCTGCTCGGCTCGATTTGATCGTAGCGTGATTTTTATAGCCTATACTCAGGAACATTGTAGCTATCAGTAAGAGAATTTTGGCAATCCGACCAACAGTTCCAAAGATTGCCCACTACATACTAACTTACAAAATTAAAACACATTTTACCTCTTTATAGATTTCACATAATACTCTGAGACAGCTAAAGATCTCAGGTTGACGTTTGTCAGTATGCTCTGTTACAGGTCCCTGTCAAAATATGTCACGCTTAGTTCGATCTTGATAAGGGCCGGTTAAAAAAATGTTTTTACTCTACCTTGGTATGTGGCTTATTGCTTTTCATAAAAGGAAAACATTGTTATTTAATATTTTCATTTGTATTGTCAGTAGTACCTGTAGGAACATTTTATTAATAAAGCCACTTCTAAATTGCAACTCTAGTGAATTTTGATTCACTAGTTCCACAGTGACTTTACCTGTAAAGATTCAAAAATCTGTTTTATCAATAATTTTATAATGGGTCGGTTGTATTTAGGAAGAAAAATTAGACAAGTGTATTAGTAGATAGTAGTGCGTTAGTAGGTATCAGAAGAAAAAAAGAGTTTATTTTATTAACAAGAATACCAATAAAAAAATCATTTATTTTTATGACATATTTTTAACAAAAAATTACATTTTCCCTCAGTTATTTCAGATATAAAAAAAAATTTATACTTAAATATACAAAAAAATAATTTCACGATATTCCCGGTTTATAAACTAAATTTTATTATTAGAATTTTTTTTCGACGTAATTGTTCCGTTTAATTTTGAATTTTTTTATTGACTTATATTTTATTAGAACATTTACTTACAATCAAATAATTGTTTTTTTGTTACTTACCAAAGCATGCGGTAGTAATACTAGACCCCTTTCCTGCCTTTGCTTTTAAAAAGAGTCGTATAAGTAAATAAGTAGTTATTTCTTTGTACACGTGTATATAGGTAATGCCAAACATCTGTAAGGGTTTTATAGTTTTTGTCATATCTAGTTGTTAATGAAGACGATGAAGTAATTGCGATAATTTGCCGCAGAGGTTCGTCTCGGACCGGTCGTTCGCTTACAATGTCGGCAGTTGAAGGTCTCACTATAATCTTTGCGTTTAGTCGATATATAGCTGTTAAGCCTGCCGCGGACGGTACAGTTGTACAATCACCTTTAATTGTTAAACATTGTGTGAGCCCAAAATGAAAAGGCACGTGCCGATCACCAGTGTTTTGTTGTTATTTGTAATATTTTGTTGTACTACTGGATATGCTAAATTGGCGCGTAAGTTGACGTTGCGTTCTTTTTTTAAATTTCATTTTCTTTTTTATGTGTATTTTTATGGATTTAAAATTAAATATTGATATTTTTATTTTTATTCACGTAAAATTTTTTTTTTCTTTAAATCATGACCGTAATAAAAATTTACAATATTTTTGCGTCTGAATTTGGTTTGTTCTTAACGGTAGCTAGTTAAATTTTTATAACCTTTAAATCGAAATGTTTATAAAAAAATAACGGTTGGTTTATTTGTTAACTAAACAGAAACTGTGTCTGATGTAATTCGAACTTGAAAAGGCCGGTTCAATTAACACGAAGGGCCTTTTTAACAATATTTGAGTAGCCGTTATTTTCCGGATATTTTAAATATAGAACGTATTCTGTATGGTCTGTGTGTCACATAAGCTTAAATATGGCTCTAAATTACTAAAATAAAAACATCCAAAAATAAACTTAAAATCAAATAACATAGAACACATTCTTTTGCCACATATTTTAGAAAAGTCACATTTATAAGGCATTTGCTGTTCATAATTCAAAGTGAATGCTGAAATAAATTACTATGGTGAGCGTTTTGGTGTTCTTTGCCAAAATCGTAAGCGTGTAGTTGATATTTTGTAAAGTACTGGGAACGCTATGTATTAAACTACAATAAAAATCAAGTTTTTCAATCTTTTTCTGGTTTCGTGTGGAAATTTCGCTAAGGACTTCTCTAGTTCTCGTTCTAAAAATCATCAAATGAACCGTTTCATCTCGTACTTAGAGCTGCGGTACATTACAGCAAACTTCGAAAACTCCCTGTCTAAGAAATATAAAATTATAAGTAGGATATATAGCATGACTGCACGGTTGGTGCGGTGGCTGGGCAACTGGCTGCCGTGCAACGTGTCGCGGGTTCGATTCTCGCACGGAACAACTCTTTGTGTGATCCACAAATTGTTGTTCCTGGGTCTGGGTGTCATGTGTGTATGTGAATTTGTATGTTTGTAAACGCACCCACGACACAGGAGAAAATCCTAGTGTGGGGCAACGTTTTTTTTTTTTTTTTTAAAAAAAAATATATATATAGCGTAGTTTAAAAATTGACAAGCATTTTCTTGTGTTGTGAAGTATTGTAGTTAAGGATTCGGTTAGGTTTCATGGAATCGTTTTTGAATCATAAAGTAGGGAAATACAGTAAAACAATATTTTACTTTACGCAATTAAGCCAACAATTTTTAATAGCGTCATCCATTATCTTGACCCCTATAAGATTAGCTACTACTAAACAAAGAAAATAATAACACGATTTTTTAATTACAAATTGAATGTAAGGTTATGTTTGTTGCATAAGAAAACCTTCGAGGTTACTTTTTGAAATGCTTATTACGATGTATGAATTAACAATTTAAATAATTATGAATTGGAATCCGTAGTAATAGTAAGTAATACTGGTTACCATAAGTATCGGATTACCAGTTAGATGTTATAATGGTTGCGTGGGTTTACTTAATAGTTTTCTATCTGATACAGAACTTGTTTTTTTAATTTTTTAAATGTCATTGCCCTTGCTTGCTTTATTTTCTTACCGCTGGGTAAGAGACATTGTAAAGTTTCGGATCACGCTACCTGAATACATATTTCTTCGGTATAGTATCTCTAAAATTGTTCTTTTTTTGAAATTGAATCGCGTTGATATCTACATAAGATTTCTTTTTAATAATTTCATAAACAGTAATCGTATATGTATATATTTCTTTCATATTATGTGCTTCCATAGATACGATATAGAAAAGAGTGTTAAATTTCTAATTAGAAAATGATGACAGAATCAATTAAAAATAGTACGAATCGATTTGATGATTTAATAGTCATTTTTAAATACCTAGATTATTAATTACATAAATAAAACTATTTTTAAAACAATCAAACATCCTAATACTCTTATCATTAGACATATTAAGTTTAGTTTTTTTATTAAGAATGAGCAATAACATTGAAATAGAGATTTTTTTAAACATTTAAACCAAAAATATTTTGGTTTAAATGTTTTCCAGTGCGACTGGACTCTATACCATTTGGTTTACTTAAGGGAAACATAAAAAAAACATTAAGCGAGTTTCGTAAAATATTGTTTTAGTTGGTGTCTTTGTAAACGATACGACAAAATGATATCGAAAAAGAAAATTGTAAATGGCCCAAAAATAGTTTACAAAATCGCTGTCTTCACCGCACACATATCAGCAACGTTATTTTTTTTTGTCTAATCACTAAACAAGACCAACCAAATTGCTTTTCAAATAAAAATCAAACTTGTTTCCAAAAATCCTTGACTTTGCCCTTCACGCTAGCCGAGCAGGTAATTTTGGTTACTTAATACCATCAAAACATACATTTACTTAACAATAAAGGAAACTGATGTGTGAAATACATATCTTCAAGTACGGGCGGCGTTACGGACTGGTAACATCTGTTTCCCGATTAATATTAGCATAAGTTTATGTGCAATAGTCTATTACCAAAAAGAATCTGTTTAGGATAGACGCGACTATTTAATTAATCAAGGGTTGCGGGTCAAGCGCAAAAAAGCAACGCGTCCCCGGCCTAAAGCAGGAGAAAGAACAGGGTTGTTTTTAGTCAGTAAAGGTCTGGAAGAGGGACGTCATGTGATAATGTTCCTTTCTCAAAAACCATCCATTGAGTAAGCAGTAACCTCCTCATCATTTTCAATCTTCCTATCAACAACCCTCCGAATTGGGAAGCGTCTTTTAAATAAAAAAATGCAAGTAGTTTGTTTAGTAGGTAAAAAAATAAAGTAAAAACAGTTCTGTTTAAAAATATTATTTGACGTTTTATAATGCGTGTATGTTTTTGTACCCCGGAGGTTATGGCGAGCGCCTTTCATGTCTATGGGTCGGGTTGGATAACCTGGGTTGGATATAAGTACCAATTATTTATATGCCACTAGAATCCCAGACTCATTATAATCCCCTAAACGCCTTCAGCAAGCGTGGTGATTGCTGAAAACCTTTTCTGTGTGAGAATTTTAGGGGCATTTGCTATGCAATGGGTTTTTATAGGATGACGGTAATAATGACAAAAACCTGTATATACCTAGTCTAGTTAAAATAAATACTCCAACTTTGACTTTGTAACTGTATAATAACTGTATAAAGTTAAATAATGTTATTATGTTATTGACTCTTTATGGATTTATCCTTTGACTTAATATGACTTTTAAAGTATCTTGTACATATCTACTGCGTATAACGTCAGGTCTATTGAGAGGAGTACCTACTAAACAAATATGAGCTAGGTACCTAAATAAATATTTACTAGATACCTACCTACATTATTTGCGAGATTTGTATGACTAGAACCTTTAGAAACTTATAATGGAGGAAACTGTCTACTAAGTTTAGTAGTGGCAAATATTGTTATGGACCTTTAATACTTATACATATGAGTGATATAGTGATCCCATTGTAGGAAATCATAAAACAGTTTGTAGTGTAAGAATCTATACGTGAGAGGGTAACGTTACAGCTTGACTGAATCGATACCACGGCTTTAAAGAAACTGGAGTGAAACAACGCTTGAGTTGGGTGTCATCCTAAACCCCTAACCATTTTTATAAAAACTGGCGTGAAACAAACACAACAAAACGCCTGTGTTAGAGTCAGCCCATACTCCTAATAGGATTTTAAAGAACCCCTATTGGGGTTCCTTAAATATCAGAACGCACGTATATTTTTTTTAATATCACGTATTGCAAGTTGATTCGTCTGATTGTCCTTATTCATTAGCCTATGTTAAAAATAAACGAGACTGACAGACTTTTTTAAAACTGAATTTACTTTAACTAGTGGTTTTATAATCTTCAGATTTATATCTTTCAGTTGTCTTATACAAAAAGGATGTTTTTTTTAAATTTTAGAATGCATTGCTTCAATTCGAAATTCAAAATGTTGAACATGAACGGCTTTATTTGGATCTTTTCGTAACGGCTGTATACAACACCTGTTACGATAAAAAAAATACACAAATATGTTGTGAACATTATTTAGATGCATTTAATATTTAACAATGCCACCTGTAGTTAAACATTTTACGTTGAAATTGTAATCAGTTATTTTTACTACAAATCAAATATTAAATCAAATACCAATTAATTCGTATTTAAAATTAATATGATATTTACTTAATCACCATACATTATAAATAGCAGTACCCATATAATGTGTAGTTTTAAATTAATAAGCCTATCAATTTAGGCTTCGCAAAATAGCAAGCCTATAGATAATTATACTATATTTGTTATTTATTAGCCCAAATTAACAGCAAAACGATAGCGTTGTATTCTATTACAAAATAACGTATTAATATTTGTTTTAATGCATATTCGCATTCGTTTGATTTCATTACATTAAATTTTTTCACAGTATATTTTATTTTGTTTTTATAAGGATTATTTTTCTTATTTGTAGGTGCACTAACTAAACGAAATTTATAAAATAAATGAAACATGAATTAGGTTTTTTGAGTTCATGTGTGTGTTACATATAATCTCAAAATAATATGACACTGTCTATCATGTAAAATGCAGTTTTTTGCATAATAGCTTCACCATAACATTTTCAAACCTTTGTTTGTTATTTCTATTAGGTGCCCATTGACGAATTGAAACGATATGGTTTTTAGATAATCGAACACTGTCTCCCTTTTCCAACTCCAGACAGGAGGGAAAACTAAGTGCCTTGCAAACCAGACATAAAGAAAAAAGTCCGTGCATAACGTAATAAATGAATAATTCCCAAAACCTTAGCTAATGTTTACATAGCAAAAATACTTGATAAACATCAAAATACAGATGTATATACATTAAAGTAACGAGATTAAAAAAGTTTGATTCACGAGCCCCTAGCGAAGCCAAATAAAATAAACGCATTCTTAAAAAACTTTTAACTGTTAAAAACGTGTCATAAAACATGCAAAATTATATTGCAAAATCATTTTCGAACTTGTTTATTATCGTTTCTTAAGAGATTATACATACAACAAAACAAAACACGACGTTTTAGAGCATAGATCGTAGTATCAAAATAGATAGACGAAAATATTTATTTAAAAAAGGCGTCAAATGTCAATTTCGAAAAATAATAATACATCTTTTATACATTGTTTTTGTGTATGTGCGTCACCAAAATTTTAGGTAGAATATTAACATATTATTTATAGGAACTACTGGATCAAAACCAGTTTTGATACGTTGGAGACAGAGCAACAAATTCAAAATAATAATTACGCATTAATAAAATAAATAAATAATACATGAAGCAGAGAGAAGAATAAAAATATTCGAATTTGATAAAAAAGAGGTGTCACATGTTTATCACTAAAATAAAAATAAAAATACAGTCTAAGGAAAAATAACCATTTTATAATATAAAATGAGATTACTTGAAGCAAATAAACGTGTGAATTAATTTATAATAATAGTAATGTAATATACCAAAGTAACAGTTCACTGACCTCAAACACTATGTACCAGGTCATCATTATGTATCAGATCATCTTATAATTAATGCAGGTCAACAAAAATCTTCGACGAGGGATTTGATTAATCACATTCAAACTCGTAATCGTTTTACAGTTTCATACTGTTCAATATGAGTGAAATTACGTTTACCAGCTTACTGTAACTGTTTGACAAGATAACACGACCAGATTCAAGCGAATCTAGGGGCTTACATTCATAAGCAACGATGCGCAACATACTATGAAGTGAAATTCGCGTAGCTCGTAATTGCGTGTAGTAAGCCGGAAATTTATTTTTCAATAAAAATGTCTTGCTAAAAACCCATTTTGTTTCAGCGGACTACATTCATCCATGCAACGAAACATCAAGAGAGTGCTTAGTAAAAGCAACGCAAGATGCGATCCCAGAATTCGTCAAAGGCATTCCAGAACTTGGAGTACCAGTCCTGGATCCTTTTACTATTGAGAAGCTGTCCATACCACTTAGTGGTTTGACTTTCACCTTCTATGATGGAAAAGTGTCTGGTTTTAGAAAATGCATTGTGGATGATGTTATGTGAGTACTAATGGATGTTATACTATTTCACACCTTGGCTGCCTTTTAGACTGGCTTTCAACTTGATTGAACTTTATTCCCAAAATGAAAATGGAGTAACAAAAGCGTATCTAATTCGATCTAGCAATACAAGAGAGTGGAGATCTAATTCTAAATCAAGATCAAGATTTTTCTAGAAAATAAATACATAAGACAAAGTCAACAATATCATGTAAGATACACGTAATAATAATTAACTTGATACCAAAGCATAAACCTATAATGATAAGGAAAATGCTGCAAATGACGGCAATCTTTTCTTTGTGGCCTTAAAAACTAGTTTAGAACACAAGTTAATGGGAAAATTGTGTGTTATTATTAGGGATACGAAGATAAATATCAATACTTCACGGCTAACATGTTTCTTAACTCTTTTATAGATCTTAGAGTAATAGACTAAACACATTTCTAAGCAAATTTTGATACAATATGTTAGTTCTTGAGTTCTATTTTGGTAAAAAGCCTTTTACGAAACTTAAAAACTAAATAACAAAACTGCAGATACGGACAAACAAAGCCAGACCAAAAAATTACGAGCTACCTTTAACCAATCTGGGAATGAAAATATCAAATAGAAAGACTTTGACCTCGATCTTCAATCACTCCAATATCAAAGGCAGTTTTTGTTCTGTATTTATAGCTTTCCGCATCCCGATATTGTTTTAATTTATATCCTCGCGGGTATGTAACCATTGGTACCATTGCCGGACCAGAAACAGACCTGAGCGCACAACACCTCAAAGAGTCAAGCAGGTGCATGTCAAGTGCAATTCGAGTAATATACTATGGCCTCGGCCTGGAGCAGTAGAAGGAATTGAGAAAAAAGCCACTGAGAGACGCCTAGCAACGTTTTGTAAGCGTTTGACCACGTTAAGGTGCTCCCCAAGTCACATGGCAAAAATGTAGATTAGGGCTCTTTTCTCCTTTTGGGGCCTTTGTTCAGCTTTGACCTTCTTTAATCTTCCAGCTGAAGATAATGATGATGATGACTCTCTTTGTCATCTTTATTAAAATACTAATTTGCGTCATTAAAGTGAAGATCTCTTACTATAATCATGTATTTATGATTATTTTTCCAATTATGACTTTTATTGTCCTTAATTTTAGAGTGTGACCTTCAAATTGGTTGCGGTCGCTAATTCAAAAATAATACCAAAACTCGTTAGAGAAACTCACGTTGAACGAAACGTTTCTTTTTATTTCAATTACAGTAGTTATTATTTTACCATTAAGGTCAAAATTGAATTGAAGAATTTAAGGTGTTAATGTTAACCTTATTTCTCTTACGTACTTCTAACCTTCTCATCCAAATACTCATTCTAACGAGACAAGAGTTCCGGAATCGAACGACTGGCCTAGATTAAAGAAAAACACTTATCAGTAATGTTAAAGGAACTCGGAAGGAAAAGAAGTATACCATATTCGTATCTATAAGAAAACTCTTATGGCATTTTCCGGTACCTTTAAGTCATCGAAGAGATAAAAATATTAAATCAGTTGTTTATTAATAGGTAGTAAATACCTCAGCCATTGTTATTTCTTTATTTCCTTTTTTTGTCCGATAATAAAGACATTTAACACCGTAACTATAACTCCTACTAAGCATATGACATTGTAATATAATCAAATTCTGAATCAGTTTAATTATAAATTTCACAAACATTTGTTATTTATCATACTTAGTGGATGTCTATCCCCAGCCCGTTTTCGATCAAATCAACCACTTAATTTCCGTTAAGATTAAAAACTTTTATTGAACCGTATGTGAATCCGTCATTTTAATAATCTTGCTAATATTATTCATTCGAAAATTTCCACGCAAAAGCGATTGAGTGAATCTTTTTTTTGGATAGGATTTTTCTGTCGTATCGTCTAATTTTAAGCAATCGGTGGTATTTGTGGACTCATTTAGGATCTACAAATGGATTCCAGGCCTTTTGAAGGTGCCTCAAAAAACCAATAGACCACCACATCCTATAGGGCTGATCCTATAGGTAGGGGTCCTGATAGGGGATCCTATAGGGCTGTTGTTCAGCCGGGGTTACGTGGTAAATGCATTAAGACACCGCTACCTCGATCAAAAGCAGGAACGGGGAGTGTGTTTAGTTAGTAGGAGTCTGACACTCCCTTCCGATCGACCCCGGCCCTGAGAAGTCAATTGACGATTTTTTCTCACAAAACAGGCTTTTTGGAGGTTAGACTCCCTCAATGACACAATTTCATGATTTAAGTATTGGATTTGGAGGGATTTGAGAATTGGAGATGGAGGGACGGATTAGGCCTCTGGTAAAAAACCTCTGAAGTCTAAATGAAATTTGGCTCAAACTTTGGCCCCAGACGATGGCACAGGGTAGTCATCTCTCTCTTAGATTTATGCAGTATTGTATGAGAAGTATTAAAACAATATGAATGTCAATATACGTTCAAACGTGATTCAAAAACATTTAAGGACTCAAAGTGTTATTGTTTTCCAAATTTGTAATTGGACTGTTTCTGTTATGGTTTTGATTTGGCCCCCGGCAATGTCGCTGTCTAACGACTGTTAAAGGCTATGGTTGTCGGTACACGTCAGCCTGTACTTTCGGATTATAATGGTCTTGATGTTATGACGTCATACAACTACCTCAAAATTAACATTCAATGAAGTAAACATTATCCGTGAGAAATAATCACGTGAGGTTAATAAGTAATTTTCTTGCTAAACGAACAGAAAAAATGTATCATTTTGTAGTAGATACTTCAGTAGATATATTTATAATAACCCAATATTAGATATTTATAAAAGATAAAAAAAAATGTATCGAAAATAGAAACCAATTAAGATTATAACGATATCTGCCTATCTGCGATATCTGCCTAAAACATAATTTTATGGTTATTATTCACTACCTACAAGAAGTTTTTTATTCCTTATATATTATACATATGTATAATAAGTATAAATCTACTAAAATGTGTCTCAAGGACGCCAACTTTTGAATGGCACATCCAATTAAAATACAAATAAAGATTCAACTAGAAACGAAGATTTTAAAATGTGCTTTTTTTATAATCACGTCAAATGATAGACATTTCTGGAACATAGATTATTAACCAAAACAAATACATATAACACTTTTAGCAAACAAACACGATTTAATTAATCAATTATAATTTACATATTTACATGGGGAACTTCCGTTTTGGTGATTGAATTATTGACAAACAAGCCATGGTAACTGATTAATGTAGGTATGTGTTACTATATAATACATATTTGTTTAGATATATATTATTACTCGATTTCACCTACGGCATGGCCCGCGTGGTATGTTCATAAAAAGAAGCTTCCCGCTAGGTGGACCGACGACATCGTCAGAGTCGCGGGGAGCCAATGGGTGCAGGTGGCAACTTATTGTTCGATGTGGAGAGCTAAGGGATAGGCCTTTGTCCAGCAGTGGACGTCTTCCAGGTAATGATGATGATGATGATGAATATAAGTAGGAAGTAGTATTATATTTTTATATCGTCAATATTTACCTAAACGACTCTATTTTTTTTTAATTACTGTAAAGTATATAATACAATAATATTTAAAATTATAAAAATAGGAGCCAGCTGGCAGCTGGATCATGACCGACATGAACAGTATGAAGTTAGCTATCATTGTGCCGATAGTTGTGTTGGCCAATCGGTTAGTCCCCAAAAGCCTCGACAACCACCTTAACAGTTTGTCATTAGGTGGATGGATCAATTCTGATACAGAAGGCAGTCTCTTTTAAATGACCCGAATTGTGAGGCGAGCCTTTTTTATCTATTGTATCTTTCATATGTGTGTTAGATAAGAGTGTAAGAAATATTGATTTAGATTTTTTAATCTTTAATCAGTAAAATAAGACGCTTGCTCCTTTCACCTATCGCTTACTGTTTTCTGCACTACCCGAACGTCTAAATAGTAGACAGTTCCTAATGCATCAAGATCGCGGGAATTATCTACCTATTTTCAAAAATAAATACTTGAATAAAGCATTTTTTTTAAATGAAGCATGTCATCTATTTTCTCGTCTCACCCTGGGTAGGTTCGAGATATAAAGTGGCAGATTTTAACTGATACAAAACCAAACTGGTACATCCATACATCATTGCGCTTCCTGCAACACCGGTCATAATGGTCCGGTGATCATCCTTGCTGCGTGATATCTATACTAATATTATAAAGAGGTAAAATTTGTAAGTTTGTATGTAAGTGGTAATCTTCAGAACCGCTGGTTGGATGTCCAAAATTTTTTCGATGATACAATGTTCCTGAGTGCTATAGGCCATAAAATATCACGCTACGATCAAATGGAGCCGAGCAGCGGGTGAAACCGCGCGAGAGTAGCTAGTGCTAAAAAAAGAGAAATATCTCTTTACTCCCGAGAGAATTGAAATAGATCTATGGCCAGCGCTGAGGATTATATACAAATTATGAAACCAAATAAGTATCTTTTATTTTGTAACGTTAATTTATGCAGTGAGTGAAAAAAAATCCAACTGCATTATATTCGCAGCCGACGTAATTTTGCGAAGTTGTTTATTAAATATTTTTCCACTTATGTATTGTGGCTGTGCAGATATATTTAAAAAAGGTATAAAAATGAAGGTTAACACATTTCAAAAGGTAATTAAAATGCTAGATTGCGAACTGGAATATAAAAACACGAGTACCTACTTAAATAAAAAAAAAAATGAATTTGTTTTGTTTTTTCTTTGTACAAAACCTCTCAAGCGTAATTTCAAATTTGGTTAAAGCACCGCTATGGTCTGTTTAACATTTTTTTTTTGATGCTGTATGTTTGATTTTGTTTTTAGAGGGTTACAAAAACCAATAGGTACGTTTATGAAACTGTAAAGCCAATTAACATTAAAATTGACCTTTATACTGACAATAAATGCATTCAAGATATTTGAATTCGACATTTTGACTTTGAAAAATATTTTCGAAGCCAAGGCTAGCAATTCATAAATAATTCGTGACAGCATGACACTAGGCTGATTATTATTATTGAAAAACTAAATGATAAAAAACAATTAATTCCTTATTTAAAATGACGTGTTCCCTAAGTAAGGTTTTGCATATAATATTTTGAATTTGTTAAGACAAAAGCTACCGCACACGACGTTATTAGCAAATGTCTTAAAGGTTTTTTTTGATTCTATATTATTTGGTCTTGTTACAAAACTGTCACATTAAAATTATTTCTTGACCTTGAGTAATAACCCTAAGAGATTCATGTTTTTTTCTGAGATAGGACGGCAAACGACCAGACGGATTACCTGATGGTAAGCTATCAGCGCCGCCCATGGACACCCACAACTACGGTGGGTGGTCGACCTTTTGGGGATTAGGGATTTGGAGAATTTAGGATTGGGGAGGTAAAAGATTGGGCCTCCAGTAAGCTCACTCACACTATGGTTGTTTCACACCGGTTGTCTGTGCAAAGTTTTCATAGAGGCGTTTCAATGGTATTTCTCACCATAGTATTCACGAACAACCGAAATAAACATAAACACGGAAGTATAAGCAAACGACAACACTTAAAAAAAGTACCTTCATCGTTAATTTTTACGAGAAAAACTTCATCTCTTAAAGTGTTAATTACAAGCAAAGAATTTTAACTTAGCAAACAAACTTCATTTATTAGGTCGGCATTTGATGGGGTTACATTGCCATGTCGCGGAAGAATTTTATGCTTTTGATGTCATCATTACTGTTTTTGTAATTTTCGGAATTGTAGTTCTAGAGATGTAACCTTTCAATCGTGGTAATTCGAGATACTTACAATAGAAGAAAATGAAAAGAAAAAAAAGAAAAATGAAAAAAAATGCCTCTCGTATATTATACACAATAGAATAAAAATACATCGTGTCTCATTAATTAGACCTAAGTTCCGGCAAACAAAGGGTTGATTAGTTGTATTATTAAAATGTATACTATGTTATAATAGTTTTTATATTAGATAGAGTTCTTTTATGTACATTCGTGTAGGCCATACCTCTATTAAGCTCGACAAAACAAGACAAGAATTGTATTTAAAAAATAATTAATTCTATAAATTGTGTATTTATTTGCAGATCGGAACTCGAAAAACGACACTTCGTTCTTGCATTCCACTGCAACCTAACAATTAAGGGTACCTACGATGCTAATGGAAGAATCCTACTGTTCCCTATCGACGGCGCAGGCGATGCTAAAATTAAACTCAGTAAGTAACAATTTGATAAATAATTCAACACTTCATTATGGTTTCAAGTTCTCTTTATCCCGCTTTTAAGTTACCATCTTTGCATTTTCAAATTTTCACCAGTTTCCTGCAGTTTGCGGAGATTAACAAATTATTATGTAAACTGTTGTCTTTGTACAAAAGAAGGGAGAAAATCAACATTTTCATCTTATGCATTTTTAAGTGTTTATTGTGATTTCACGAGAGAATTTAGTTTTTTCCTCTGGGTAAAGAACATTTAACGTCTTTATAGTAAAATGGAATTTCTTTTTGTTACGACTATTAGGTAACTTTCTGCGATCACTTATTTACGTTTTAAGATAAAAAATTACAGACTTACACCCGGTTTCTTAAAGGCCCATCAATGTTAAAATCAATTTTATCTCTTGTCAAGTCATCTGATTGGTTGACTGAATTATCAACAACCAATCAGATGACTTGCCAAGAGATTTAACAGGAGATTAGTTAATTTTAGCATTGACAAGCCTTTCAGAAACCGGGTGTCAGAAAAGTATTCACCAATCAACATTTACCCTTAAAACAATTAAATAATTACTTTGTTTTTGTTACAGCCAACCTTAGAATGAAAGTCGACATTAAAACAAAATACATCAAAGATAACAAAGGTGTCAATCACTTTGCTATTAAAAACTACAAATATACCTTCGACTACGGTGATCGAGTCGCATTTGAACTGGACAATCTCTTCAAAGAGAGTAAGGAACTTAGTAAGTATACCTTTTTAATAATGAAGTAATCTTTACGTATTAATATAATTTAATTCCAAAACGTTGTAATTAAGAACCAGTCAAGTTTATTTTCCCTCCAAATGGAGCTACATAGTGTAAAACCTACAATTTAGAATAAGCTAATTTAATTTTGGACAGTCATAGTGATAACGTACTGTCCTATTGACAGATTACCGCCATCTGTTGTTCAAAAATGGTAACTCGCATTGCTAAATTACGAACAATTATGCCTAAGTTGATTAAATTAAGAATCTCAATCGAATTGGCGTCTATGCATATTTTCGGAAATTGTCAAAATTATTGTAGTTTAACTATTGTTATCTGGGTAGTGTCCCTTGAGATAGGCTATCCACATAATTTGTTCTTAATTACTTACCAATATTCACTAAACCAATAATCTGTCTAATTACTTGGATGTGCGATTCGTAATAACTCTGTCCTCGATTGTCGCATTCAATAAGCAAGAACGGCAATTATTTTACTTAATTGTCCCCAACGCTATATCCTCTAAGGATATCCTCTACCGATCAAGATGTGCATATCCGTGAGTGCATGCATAGGAACTGAAACTATTGACCCACATTGCAATTGCATATCCTTCTATGATAACAGTCTAGCTACCCAAGGTTGGGTGCAGATGATAATTATTGATTTCCTATGACTTCTCGTAATAAAATATAATTTAATCGTGAACTTGTTGAACTTGATACAAACGTAACAAGGTAGGAAATTATTGTAAAAACTGACAGCATAATGTCATACTTCTGAAGGTTATCTGTACAACATAATGTTAACGTTAAAATATTCATAACCAAAGTATACATATGTATGAATATTGGTCTAATTGATTTTCCTTTTCTTTCTCGTCTAATTTACCTTTTTATGTGACTGATGGTATGCAATCGGCGAAGTAGCTAGTGTGTTGACGGCCTTTTGGGGATTAAGGGATTGTGGACGGATAAAGGAAGAGTATAGATTGGTCCCTTTTTTTGTCAGGGGAAAATCATCAAATGACTTCTCCCGCCCAAGGTTAGGCGAGAGAGAGTGTCAGACTCTTACTGACTAAAAACCCCCGCGTTCCTTTTCCTGCTCTGGGCCGAGGCCGCGGTGAGTCATTGCGCTGAACCCGCATCCCCGGCTGTCCCCTGTAAACTGCAATCGTAAGGCAAAACGCAACGTTGTAGCGTATGTGTGATGTTTCACGCCAGTTTTCTGTGAGGCCGTGGTGTCACTGCTATCGAGCTGACCCATTCGAGCCGAATAATTTATCTCCCACACTTACCTACCTACATAATCCGAGATGTTGTGTATTTAGATAAACTAAACACATCACTTATTAATTTATTACACTTTTTCTAAGGACCACTCTAAAATTTTCGGTCATAGTCACATATGAGCTGAAAAACTTGTCTTAATCTAATGAAATAATAATTTAAATGGTTTTTTTTTCTTTACAGGTAAAACAGTTCTACAATTCCTAAACGAGAACTGGCGGTTGGTAGCCGAAGAATTTGGAAAACCAATAGTAGACTACGCCGTCGAACTAGCAATAAGGACTATCGAAAAGTTCTTTATAGTAGTTCCTTATGAAGAACTCATTAATGTTCCCATTCCTAAATTTTAGTTTGAGTTAAGTATTATTACGTTGTAAGGTGAATAGTTTATTACATTTTTTTAAGATAGTATTTTTTTGTTTCATTGATTCCTTTTTGTGGTTGTCGTTAAATGATTTCTCATATTCTGATATGTTAAAGTTTATTTTTAAGTTTAACCCTACCTAATTGATCTTTACCCATTTTTTTGTTTTAATACGGACATGGAAATGCTTAGCTCAAATAATGGCTTATATGACAAAAGATACATTTTTCTGTGAGTGGTCTCACTATTGAGTACAAAAATTATCTTTATTGCAAAATACACCGTAATACACCAGTAATAAGAGATTTGTCACGAGCACCATTAATTCCCGGAATATCTCGTCATTTGTCTTAGTTGGACGTTAGACCGAGAACCGCCCTTACCGCGTCTTGATCATTTACACTATATCCTTTTCACATTATTTGTTCCGTTAGATTTTCTATATGACTTGACATAGATTTTTTGCTAGTGTCTTCAAGGCATTGAACAACATAGTTTTGTCTGTTTTATTATGAATGGAAAATTACTTATTGCCAGTTTCTACTCAAACTTAAATGTGGCGAAATCTTCCTTCGAATCTAAATCATTGACAATGCATAAAATTATCACCGTAGAGTCTTTGAAATCAGAAGTTCATAGACACCAATTAATTATTTATATATATAAAAATCAATGCCAATTTTCGTTGTAATGTTATAACTCAAGAATGCCTATACTGATTTGGCTGAGTTTGGTCTTTTTTAATTACTTGTGGAAGTCCAGAGAAAGTTTGTACGTAAAAAAAATTAAAATAAACTTTCAAATGTGTAAAATCGACATCCGGTCTGGCAGAGCCGCAGGTGACCGCTTCTGCATTTGAATAACGGTTGTAAAACTTTATAGAAAATCGAATAAATATATTTTTGAACTTTGAATATCATATTTTGCAGCTGGAAGAACAAGATTATTTAGCTCAATAATAAAATTTGACTGAATAGATGGAAATTATATTGCTTGCAAAATTTAACAATATAATGATATACAATACCTATACTCATCGACATTAACATTTAGAATAATATTTAGAATAAAAAATCCTATTACAAAATGGTTTAGTAACACTACAAAAATGTAAAGGAATTAACATTAGAATTGTATCATATGAGTATAATAGTTTTGTGAGATGTGTTAAATCAATTATTAATAAAATTTGCTAACCATAGCAACTTTAATAATTCGTTAAAATATTTTACAAAAACTCTAAGATTATACCAAATTGCTATTTATAGCACGTTGACTTTCAATTTCGTTGTTTACAAGTCATTCCAAGGTTATAGATACAATCATCAAAAATAAAAGTATATTTGTCAGGTGATGGATATAATATTAATTATCAATCGTCGAAAAAAACCCTACGAATCTCTTCGTGAATAGCAATAACTTTAATTATAGATTCTGATATCTTTAAAACCACTGGGAGAGCCACGCTTCGGCACGAAGGGGTCGACTCGACCGGAGTGATACCACGGCCTAACAGAAAACCACGTTTCACGATAGGATGTATTAAATGTATTGCACATTCAACTTGAATATAAATACTGCAACTACCATAAACAATAAAGAGATTCTATTTTTAGGTCTGCAATAATAAGAGAAACAATAATCAAATAAAACATCATCAACATAAATAAGCAAATGGTGCCGCCCATTGACACCCGCGACATCAAGTAGTTGTAGATTAGAAGTACGTTGGGAACTTTAGGGGGGTTAAGGATTAGGGAAATTGGGGATTGAGATTGGGAAGGTCTCAGCTCACCTCACCCACTCAGCGAAACAACGCAAGTGTTGTTCTCGCTGGTTCGCCGTGTTCGAGCCGGCTCATTCGCACCGAAGCATAGCTCTCCCATACCTATCATTCCTTATTACATTTTTTTAAGGTATTTGAAGGCAATGTGCTTTACATTGACAGTGACAGTGATACTATGATATTTCATCATAACACGTATTTAAATAAAGGTAGTTGTGCAACGAAAATTTTATTAATTCAATTTCAATGACTGATATGAAGGTCTAAAAGGCTATTGAACTGTTTGAATAATATTTTTATTTCCATATTAAACAGTTACTAGACTGTACTCAGCCAGCGATTACGAGGAACTTGATAAAGTAAGTAACATCCATACCTTCTACTCCATCACAATTCTTATTATAAGTAATGAGTAGCGAAGTACAGAAGCAACCAACCAATCACACAACAAAAAATACGTCCCAAGACCTATCAGATAGAACAACAACTTCATTTGTTTTGAAAAATATTGGGAGCTGTATGTACTACTTAATGTCAAAACTTAATGTCAAACTTATGTATTACTTAATGAATAAATGAAAAACAGAAGCAGCCCGATCAGAGTCGCGCCCGGCCTTTCTACAGCCGTCTCCTACTTCTGCGAAGCAGTAATACTCTAAGAAGCATTTGGATCGCGTGAGAGAGCTATTATTCACACTTTGGAGTGTCGGGGATCACGTGATGGTCTCCGGTCACAAGGGTAGCTGGTCCTCCAACCAGAACCAGATCCAAGCGTAGGATGCGTCAGGTCCCGCGCACGCATCAATGAGCCATCAAACCAAAGGCAGGATGGGGCCACTAAGGCCAACTAGTGATGGGCCGTGACCAGGCTCGTAACAGGAACCAAATAGTTTTTAATCAATAAGGACGGGACATGTCAATCGATGATATTCCGCAAAAAAAAAAATAACTACTCTGTTTATTTCTTCCGTTTTTTTTATTGGCACACTTAGGACAAAATGTTGACCTTCAAGAAGTCTTTATAACCACTTACTCACAAACTCGTCCTAGCAACAAATCGGTCAAAAGTATGACCTTCACCAATAACATGCCTTAATCGCCAAAGAAATCGTAAAGAAAAATATAGCTAATATGAAAAAATCACATAGTAAGAAGATTAATAGATTCAATATAAGTGATGACGTTTCACATCTATCGCCTAAGGGCATGATAATGAATAATAATGATCTTTTATTCATACTGTATCATAATTTGTTACGAAAAAATATTTTCTCTTAAAATTATTCTGCTGTGTCATTGGAATCAGCCATTTTATTAGATGCAACTTAGCCAAGGCCTAATCAGTAGGGGAGTAGTAGGGTAGTTAGGTTGTGAGATTACCGGAGACAATCCTCAAATATCGGGAACCCTAATTCTCATAAGGCCGACAACGCATACGTAACTCCTTTGGTGTAACGGGTGTCCATGGGCGGCGTCAATTGCTTACCACCAGATAATACGACTGTTCTTTTGCCGATCTATTTCATTAAAATTGAAATAAAATAATAAAAAAAACTGTCGGCAAAAAAATAAGAAATATGAGTAGCTAAATGCTAAAAGGCACTGAAATGAAATGACTACGTTCAATTAAAAACAGTCTATCTAACGTAGAATTTAATTGAATTTTTAGTAACTAGCTGCGAGTTTATCGGCACCAGATAAACATTGAAGCCCGATAAAATACAAAGCAACTGTAATCTGAATATTCTAAACACTAACAAAACAAAAATACGAAGCTTAATGAAAAATAAAAATTCACGTAGGTACCAATTTTTGGCACAAATCCGAAGCGTATCAATTTTCACGTTTGTAAAATTCAAACACCATTTATAGCAGACAACAACAAGCTAACCTATTTTATTTATTGGATTTTCAACTTTATTACAAAATTGAAAGGTAAAAAATGTGTTGTAGAAATTTGACAGGTAAGGGTAGCTCGACGTGCTGGCATCTGTACTTAAAACCCTCGTAAAAACGTATTTTACTACACAACTTTGTTAATATTCTGCTATCCGTATAACTCAAGGCAGTCAGCTAACAGATTTTTCTCGAGTTCCAGCTTTATGAGTGCAGTAAAAGTATATCGCAGGTATGCTAATATTTTAATTAACTTTGTACAAATTTACAATGCTATCTGTAATTTTAATTAAGTACGTGGGCGCTTTAATTTTCGTAAATCTCTTTAAATTTATGGGATCTACTTAATGCAGCTATGTTAATGAATGGCAAGGATGTATCCGCAATATTGTAATTCTTAGATATAGGTACCTACACCAAACACTTATTCTTTTATAAGTTCTTTTATGCGACGTTATCTATGGAAAAATCCTAAATGTACGAACGTGTTTACCTATGCATTTCATATTTTTATAGTTTTTGTTGTGAATTTTCGCAGGAACATGATAAGATGTTTGTTTAAAACATTACTGCATACGGTACTAAAAAGTCTAGGTACCTATACACTTAAAACTGGCTTAAATCAATAACAGTTTTTTTCATTACACACTACACACCATCTACACATCAATGTTTTCAAAGATCCCTAATGTCATCCTGAGTTTGCAACTCACAACAAAAAAAAAAAACGACACAAACACATTCTCGATCCATTCCTTTCTTCTAAAAGTCCACTCTACCTTGTTATTCCGCAGTCGCACCTCAACTTGCGAAGAAAAATAACTAGTCCAAAGAACTAACACCGCACACACCACATCTAAAACATCGTCGCAAACTCACAACTCTTAATTAAATGCCCGAACAACCCACAAGAGATAAGCAAGTGCAGTGAATTCTATTCAGAGTAACAATGCTACGGGACAGCAGTGAACAAGTTGCAACTTGTCGGTAAGTTAACAACTTGTTGTGAGGACCACAAGTGAAGTGGACTGTCCAATGTGTCCGCAGTCCCGACTGACCGAACATCATTTTATTGTTCCTACAACTTTGCTCTTATTGTGTTCTTAGGGGAATTGATTACATTTCTATTGAGTGCTTGGAAAAGAATATCGTGCAAAAAATTGACTCTTATTTGTATTTACTTGTACAGGGTGTCCGGTAAAGTATGGATAACCTTGAAGTGCCTTTAAGTATATTATATGACTAATATACAAAAAAACATAACAAAACAAAAGTTTTTATAAAAAACTTGCAAATTAATTTATTTTAGACAAATTGTGCATAATTTATTTTTGCAGCAAAGTATCATTGTTATGCAATATTA